GCCGGGACGCCGGGATTTGATCAAGCGGGAGTGAACATGTGCGCAGTGACTTTAAGGAATTGTAACCAAGGTTTCTGGATTGGGGATTTGACTGTTTCACTTATTATAATAAGTAGGCTGAAAATTGAACGCTTCTTTTTTTTGTCTATATTACTTTGACACTGTGTCAACTCGATGACAGCGTGCATGCTTTCTTAATGAGTTTGAGTTTGTTCAATCACTTTTGAGAATGTCCTCAAGTTGTTCCAGCAGCGCTGACAGCGACCCGAGGCTCGTTGATGACACGTTCATCTAACGGACTTCAATTTGGAGGCCTGTTGCTTCGCTTTTCGTTAAGCATTGGTCATTGGCAACTGTGTGATTTTGTATGCATGCAACATGTTTTCGACGAGAGTGAACATCCATGAAACCTGGCACCAGCTCCCTGGTTTTGTTTGCAGGAAAGATGGTGGGAGAGCTAATGGCTGAAGAAGGCCGGGAAAACTCCATGCACCGTTTTGTCAACTATGTGATGGTTGTAGTTGTAGTTGCTATGCTGCTCTTTTAGAGTTTTTTTCAAGCAGGGGTATAACATGGACCGGCATGGTTTCCAAACAGCTTGAACGGTCACAGGTATGCCACTTTGGGGGAACAATCAATTCAAGTCAGTTTCATACTCTGTAGTCAATTTAGCAACTCAGCATCTTACCACTGACTGGTTTCCTTTTTGCGCAATGGAGTCGTCGGGCAAGAAGCAGGATTCACGTCGGATGAAATACTTGGACAAGGATGTTCCGTGTTTAGAGAACCCGAAGAGGCGATCTGCGTTCCAAGGCACTTACGAGAATAAGCGACGCTGGGACTTGAATTTTAAATCAACTTGTTCGCTGCAAGGTTTCAAACCAATGTTTATTATGCATTTTGAGAAATGGCTGAGCTTTGTGTCTTTCATCAGCCAAGAACAATGAGGCAGGGGCAGCAGAAGACGCAAAGTCTTTCAGGCTGTGGGGACGGCTGATGCTGGTGTGCAATGCACTTCCCTTCGTGAGTGTGGGGTGCAAACGGATCCTATGGTTGGTGCATCGGATGGTTCCGGGGGTGGACGAACCGCTGATGATGAAACCTGCCACTTTTGTTACAAAGTTCATGAGCGAGATGTCTATGAAAACTATGTGTTGAGCACCTTGGCTGTGCTATTTAATGATTCTGATTATGAATGATATTAATCATGGTGTCTCTTTAGAACCCACCAAATCCTGATGTGTATTTGGGGCATGTATGTTGAGGCAATGAGAACCGCTCTTTGAAGCATCGATTGAAGGTGACATGTTCGGAATTGAAAGCTGTAAAGTTAGAGTTGGATGAAAAACGTGACCTGGTGAATCTCATCGGGTTGCACAAACTTCGGGAGTTCGCAAAGCGGAAGCGGGAGCGGAAGTGAAGAAAAATGAAGGGAACCATCGGACGCGCATTGTCGGAAGTCTATTGAATATGAATCATGCTTTTTAAGACTTGAAATTCTGTGGCAGGTCTACGAATAAGGATGACCGGAATTCTTCAATGCAGAAAAACAGTTGAGTGCACCGTTTTTCAGCAGTGCGGGTAGGATGGTAGGACCCAAATATAAAGTGATAGGATTTGTTTGCAAGGAAATTAATTTATATAGCATGGCAGAGCCCCCGGCCAGCTTGTTCGCGTTGGGCGGAGTTTAGATGCAAGCCGGTGATGCTTAGAATATGAACCATGGAATCGAATTTAAATAATGGGTGCTGCCGCGGCATGCATCGTATATTATCCATCACCATTCCATAGCTCGTATTTATTCGTACCAAACGAACACTAACCTATACATTTTAAAGCCTAAACAATTAATTTTTGATAATATATTTAAATTATATCAAATTTATATATTATAGAGAAAAGGTTATAATTTTAAATTCATTCTTGATAAAAATAGTATCATAGAAATAAATTTCGTCATTTTTTCTAATTGCAACTATACGATAAAGAAAAACCATAAAATTCCCTAGACCATAGGAATTTAATTTAGTCATTTTTAATTCTATACCCCATATTATTAATAAATTTCTATATTAATGACTTTCATTTCGATTTATTAATTTCATTTTGCAGAAATTCAAATGATCCTATAAATCAAGAAATATATATAAAATATATAAATTTATAATGCAATCAAAACATATCGCCTTTCGTGCCTTCGGCTCAAAAAAAAGGCCTAAATATATATACTATCGTATAAATTATAAATACAAATTAAATACTCGAAAACCTCCTACTAAAGCGCGCGCGCCGCAACGCTCGAAAACCTCCCATTAAAACGTATACACCGCCATAAATCGGCGACGAAATGTAAATAAAATTCGATATAAACATATAGCCAAATAATAATATAATATATATTTTTTTTAAATTCATTAAATTAAATATATTTCTTTAATATAAAAAATAATAAATAACAATTATTTATTATATTTTTCCAATAATTTCTTTTCAATTCCATTAAAAATAAACAAAATATAAAATATAAAATAAAAATAAATCGAATATAAATTATACATAATAAACCTAATCATAATCTTTTTAAATCAAATAAATACAAATTCAAAATATATATAATAAAAATATATATTTATAATTTTCACCCAATAATAAAATAACCATAAATATTAATGTAAAACCTCATATATCACATATATATCCATAATTATTTATATTATATAAATATCAATTAAATATATATTTTTAATTCCTAATTATAATATCCATATTTAAGAAATACAATTCGATCATTCAAATTATATATCCAATTATTATATCAAAAAATATCCAAAATACAACATCATAAATAGATATTTTTCTATAATTCAATATATTCTATAAATATATTAATCAATAATTATTTTAGATATTTATATTGATTAATTCTTGATTATATCAAACATTACATATTTTCTATAATCGGATCCTACCATGCGTATATCAATTCAATTTGCACAATAAATCTTATTTAATTTTAATGTGACGTTCAATTTTGCTTATTCGCAATTTCCCTCTCAGAGGGTCCCACCCGTTCTGTCTAATGTCCCCTTATCAGGGCGAGAAGAGAGGAGTTGGTCCCACCTGCATGGCTGTCTTGACAGGAGCGAACATCCATGAACCGTCCCCCGTTTCGGAGTGCGGACGGTTCATGCCAGCAGGCCAAAAAAAGGCGAGGGAGTACTTTGGATAGCGCGCCACCCCTCAGTTCAAGGCGTTTCATGCATTCAAATTCCAGAGGTTGTGCCTCGGTATTTAAACCGAGCAGGCATGGACCACAGGCATGCAGTTGTGCAAAAGGACTTTGTTTTCCTGAAGTATGTCGGATGAGGGTCCACATTATGGCACAAATCACGCAAGAAACCTTGTGTTGGTCATGACGTGTCAAAAAGTATCAAATACGAAAGGGTGCTTCTTGTCTCTAACTGCATCTGCAGAGCGCCTGCGTCTGACAGTGCCTCCAGCCATCTCACGCCAACCTCCGACAAAACTGAGATTTTGGGCCCTCACATGCCCTCACAATTTCGAGCAGCTGAATCGAATCCAGGTCAAGCTCCAATAAGGCATTCGAAGTGAAGTGACATCTTCTCAGACTGAGATGTTCATCGTCGGCTCAAGCACTCAAGAGGTTTAGGGTTTCAAGATCAATTCTTTCCGCTGTATACATGTGAGAATATATGTGTATAGGTTATATGATATTATATGTCTATATATAATACATAATTCTATGTATACGTGTCAGCTGAAGCACCATGACTGACTCAAAGATCTTCACATGGCATGGGTGTGCATGACTCAATGATTCGTGGCCCCGATTGATAGGAGCGACTTGGAATACATCGGAGCCCTCCCAGTTGGCAAGCTTGCTCCCCCCAAAAATGCACCGATGAACTGATGGTCCGAAGAGAAAGGCCCCAAATCTAAACCGATGACCCTGAACAAGTCAGGGATCTGTCCGGTCTGCCCGATCTTTGTGATGATTTCGGAGTTCAGGGGATCTGCCCCTTCCTTGATGCCATTGTATTTGGATGGACTTTTGCGGTCTGGAGAGAGCTGAGGTCTCCCTACTCCAAGCATGCAACCCTTTCATGTCTGCAGAATGGTGTGGAAAAGCTTCCTGAGAGGAAGTCTCGGTGTTGCCAGTCTCATTGGACTCGAAGAACTTTGCTGCTTACCTGAGGGAAGTTGACTTCCAATGCAAACGAAAGCCCAGTATGTTCTAACAATTTTGTACTAATTGGGCAAACATCCAAATACAGCATCGCCATGCGAAAATTGACAGCAACATTTCGACTTCCCAACAAGAGAAACTTCTCGATGCTACATGTGGCTTTCAAACAACTTATTCTTATTCTATGCTCGTCTAGTCCATGACTTCTTGGTGGAAAACTCTGAAGACGTCCGAGTGCACTTCACAGAATTCCAAGAAGTCCCTTTCAGACTCCCAGACCCAAACGCTTCCGGATTGAAAAGCTCGCCAGGTTCCTGGCTTTGAGTCACACCCCTTCAGTGACTCCTGCACAGTCCTGGTGTGAAGGTTCATGAAGGTTCGATGTGTGCATGGATGGATCGCGGGACGCTTCATCCTGCGACCGACATGCACATGCACTACAAAAATGCCTCATTGGCGCTGGTACTGCTAAACGCACTACGCGCCATATATACCTCAAGAGGCGGCCTTAGGCCTTTCAGGCTGTCTCGAACCGTTTTGGCTCCGCTCGGTTCCTCGAGAAGCACAAAAGATGGGCCGCGAGGCCAAAGACTGTGGATTTTTTCGAGGCACTTTGCTGGGGCAAAGTGTAGACGGTCGGCTGCGAAGACAACGCCGGAGATGGGCGTTTCGCACAAGTCTGTCACTGGACAAGGACGAAAGAAACACAATTGCCAGATATTGATATCATCGGTTTGACACCATGTAATTAGGTTTGTAGACTTGAGTATGATGGGACTGTGGATTTGACCATGGATCTTCCATGCGAGCGCTGCTGAACGCCCCCTGTCCTACAAACGGAAGACGGTCACGAAGAAGCTTCAAAGCCTCCAAGTCCTTCTTCCACCAGCAAGGTTCACAGATTGTTAACAGCAATCCGCATTGAATGGAATGGGTTTCATGGTATCAAACGATATCCGGACTCAATTCAGCACCATCAAGTATTGCGGTCGGCTCCGGCCCCTGTTTGCCTTAGTTTTTCTCAATGTTCCGCACTGACCAACATAGATCACAAAGGAAAAACACCACTGGGAGAGTCCGGATGTCATTGATTGAGACCTTCTGCAACTCCGATCTCCAGATCTCCAGAGTTGAGCCCTTCAAGCCCTTCTGTTCACCGTTCAGTTGGCGATCTCACCATCACCTGGGCGGTGCAAAGTCTAGGGCCTAGCTAGTCTAGGGCCTAGGGGCCTAGGGCAACAAGGGCTCGTCTTGCATCCCCTTTGCTGTTGCTGTTGCACATCACCCTCCACAAACATGTTGAGACTTTTGAACACACAACAGAAGGAAAAAACAACACTTACTGTAATGCTGGAAGTCTGTCGCAGTAGAATGATGTTGTTAACGGCGTCCAAAGAATGCTCTTTGAATCTCTTTGATGTTTTTTTTGACCCATTTACTTTGAACGATGTTGCAACCTGCCCAATGTCCGAGGGCGCTCCCATTTCTCCAAGCCAAATGTCCGAGTGACTTGAGAAACTGGCACGAGTCGAAATGGTACTGGCATGCTAGCGCCTGGACGAGCTGGGAGAGGATTGAACCAGGTCTGCTAAGCTTCGCTACTGTTCCTTCATCTTTCAATGTGTAGGTCCCAAGAATGGAACACCACACCATTAACACCACTGCGATGGTCTTGTGAATTCTGTGAAAGATTGTGAAAGGAATTCTTCCAACAACAAATCGACCGGAGATGACCAGAGATACGCCCGGACCGGTCGTCATGACGGTCGTCTTAAGCACGTCTTAACGTGCCTGCGCGCAGGGCCAGGCGGTGTTTCCTGCGGAGACAAAGGCCGCATCAGGATCCAAACTCATTGACTCAGCAAAAACTTCAGCAAACAGTTTCAACGTGTGAAGTAGTGTGAAGCATGTAGAATCTAGAACGATTTGATGAGAGATGATGAGACAAACATCGGTGCTTTTAGCGCATGCCTTGGGACATACTGTTCCGCGGATCTTCGATTGGAGAGACCCCCCTGCGAATGGGTCGAGACCACGGCCCCCCCTGTGACACAGGCTCTGTGGACACTGTCACACCTCTGCATAGAATCACTGACACATGTGAGAACCCACTGTGACACCAAGGAAACTTCAAACATTTGTATCTGGAATCAAATGGAATCACCATGAACCAACCAATATACATATACATACATTCCATTCCACTCCACAATACATTCATAGTTGCATACATTACATCATTACAATATTTTCAAATTACATAAGATTATCAAAACACAACATAACAAATACAGCATATACATATATACCATACATACAAAAAACATTACATCACAATGCATATATATGCATACAAATACATACATAATCGTACATACAGTCCATTCAACTTCATTACATTCATACTTACATACATTACATAACTTTACAATTCCAGAACAATACATAGCAAAACAACGAAACATTAATACAGTACATACCATGCATACACTACACTACACTGCACTACATTACATTACAATGCATGCATGCATCCATACATCCGTACATACTTACATTTCCACTCCACTCCACTCCACTCCATTTCCTTCATACTTACATACATTACGCATTACATTGCTTTACAATTACATAACTCTACATTAAAAAACAGCAATAATACAGTACATACAATACGTTACATTGTATTACAATACAATGCATGCATGGATACATACATCACATTACCATGTCCCTTTACATTTACATTATATACATTACAATACATTAGATACACAATTACATACAAACATACATACCTGAGAAGCTGCAAAACGAAAGCCAGCGTTTTTACTTTCGAGTGTGCTTTCTCAGGCCACCCCCCCGAATCCCCTTCTTACTCAGCTGGCGCCTTGCCAGATATAGATACCCAGGGTAGCTACAATTCAGTTGCCCGGTCGTAACCTTTACACATGCACAGCAAGCCACAGATTTGAAATCTCATTCGTGCTTTGAACTTATATAGGTGTGTAAGAGGTATAGCAACATAGCATTTATACGGACCCAGGGTAGCTACAATTCTGTTGCCAGGTATCCCACTTCAATTTCCCTGCCCTGGGTCCACGCGCGCGCGCGCCTTGCTGGCTCCCGGCTGCCCTTGATTTAGGCGGATTGCTGTGCGTGTGTAAAGGTTATCGAGCGGTTGATGGAAAGGGAACTTGAAGTACTATACCTGGTAACTGCACTATAGCTACCCTGGGTATCTATACATGGCAAGGTGCCAACTACACCTTACCATTCAGATGATGCAAATGATGCAAATTGCATTTCTTGCATCACCACCCCTCAAAAATCACCTCCAACCCAACCTCAAAAAACCTTCCATCCGTCCACCCTCCTCCCCCAGCATGTGCCGAGTTTACGTGTACCTTTTGCGGGCCACCCCCCGGACCCCCTAACTAGTCACTTCGTTCGCCAAGCACAACTCAGCTGGCGCCTTCTACGAAGGCTGGCTTTCGTAACATTCATGCTTATCCTGACACCGCTGTAGGGTACCGTTTGCAAGAAAGAGGAGGCTCTCAACAAAAACATTCCAACATCAATTGCAACATCTCCAACATCAAACACACATCCTCTATCCAACGACAGTAGAAGGAGCTCCGCTGTGGCCGCTTCTTCTCGTGCAACATGGTCCGACAATGGGTGCCCCGACCAGGCAAATGGCAGCTTGCAAGTGCATGGGCAACGCCTCGGAGAACGAGTGACGTTGGGTTACGAGGCTTGGGTGTTACGAGGCTGTTACGTCGGGTCCATGTGAGTGGTCAGTGGAAAGCCCCACTCTGATTTAAACACGTTAAACAAATAGAAGCAAATAAACACAAGTGATTCCCAGGGTCAGAGCTCCAAAACACGCATGATTTGTTTTTCAAGTAGGCTGAGTGGGACCTCAGTTATTCCTACGACTCCTGTGCTTGCATACCTCATGTTTCTGCAGTTCCAGTCCAATCGCTTCACCAACAATCTAGGCAGGGATCTAATAGTGGCCTTTACTGAAGAACATGCTGTTGCCACTCACAAGGGTGGCACATCACATCTCTTTCTCCCTTCACCTCCTTCGGTCCAAACGCCGCCAGCTCCGACCACAGCGCCGGATCGTCGCGTCGCTGCGGGTCGACCGTGGCCGTGGTCTCCCACGGACGCGGGAGAAAACGTTTCCCGGACACGACCGCTGAGCAAAAACCGTTCGGAATCGTTTTTTTTCGTCTGTGTTGGTTTCAAGTCGAAAGAGTTGTTTACTTGGCTTTCGCACCTGCTTAATCTGCGTGAGTCTGTTCTCCTGGGGCAGGTTCGCTCTGATGGCCGTAGACGCTTTGGTTTGTACCAAAGTTTGGACCCCCCTCCCTGTGAAACAAACATGCAGCAGTTGCAGAGGAATTCCATGGAATTCCTCTAAAGGCCAAAAAAAATGCAAAATGGGCGAAGAATGCAAAGCCATCGACCTGGACTCATCATAACCAACACATCCAGAATCTTGCGACCTGCTGGAGAATATGCTAGAATGAATAGAGCTATGGGCTATGGGTGCCATGATGATGCCCAATGCCGTCAAAACCTCGAAAGCAAGACATTTTGGAGGCCAACTGCATCATCAAAATGTTGAAACTTGGCCCATAATTGGCCCAATACAAAACAACGTCGAACCGCAAAAACTTCAAGGCTCTGCTCTTCTGAGGCATGCCAAGCTTCAAGCTTTCACACACTTACTTACGAAAGCTCGCAAACGGTATTTTGGGGTCACGACAAATAGATCTTGGCTGGAACAGTAAGGTGATCAGTCAGTAAACAGTATGGTTTAAGCTGGTGAACCGAGAGCTAATTGAATTTCTAGGCAGGTACGTCGATCCAGCGTCCCAGATTGATATCACCAGCACATTTGTTGGTGCAAGGCTGGATGGGCTGCTTGCACCCCCCCCGAATTTGTTGAATTAGGCAGTGTAACAGTTTAACAGTATTAAATTAGATAGTATCAGTGTGCATAAAGGATCATAAATAAAGGGCCCTTGGAAACATGGTTTGACGCACACACACTTCGAACTTCGAACTTGGGTTTTTCAGTTAACGCAAGTGTCTCGGTGAGAAG